ACCAAGAGAAGCAAGAGCTAAATTCTGAACCCTTACTATACACATGCATATAAAATACCTTTTGAAAATAAGCATTCTGGGCAATTATTGCATTACCAGAGCATGTTTTACTTTCCCCTTTGTGTACTTCTAATATCAGACCACTACTTGCTATAGTAACATGTTACAGTAAGCTTACTGCATGCCATACAGGGAAGAATAGGAAATAAATGGTACTAAGATTTGGATGGAGAAGCCAACTAATGCTTCATTCTTCAACCTCAATATCACAAAACACTGCAAAGAAAATGCCTGATTTGAGACTATGACAGGCATTTGCTTTGCTGAAATTCATTAAAGTTTAGCTACTCCAAATTCCAAACTGCTTTGCCATATATGTTTACATGAGTTTGTAGTCACTTCTACTCTTAAAGACATTTGATATAGGACAACTAGGTACACTCTATCCACACAGAAGAATGTGCTATACAGTGGGAGTTCAGTTGCAAGTGTTAAGAAAATCTATGATGGTAGCATCTGACTATCAAGAGTAATGCAAGAAACTGTCAGCCTTACAATCCTATGTTTTGTAATTATCTCCCTTGAAGATCACAGCCTTTCAAAGCTGTTTCCTTCCTTCAAAAGGAGAAAACACCTTGGTCTACCCTGAAGAAATACAGAGGCACTCTTGAAAGAATAAGTGGTAAAATCTTGACTCAATAAGGGAATTGATGTAACTGCTGCTTGGGGAGCCCCATCCATGTAATCAGTTGTCTGTATTTGCTTCTAAGCAGCAGTTCCTCCTAGTCAGACTGTTCCCACATTTTGCTTCACTATTAAAAAACCCACCACCTAACAATAACTCTGCCTGCCTCTAAAAAGCATAAGAAAAGCTAAGCTAGCACATCCAGAATTTAGCAGGTGGTTGCTTTAATTTCAACTTATTCTATAGCTGGGATCAATTTGCAAGACTAATACATTTCCACAGATCATGTGAGGACAATCAGTACCCTCTTCATGCTTATAACCCTATATAAAGTCTCATCTGACAGCTATTATAATCTAAATATAACAGAAAAGTATTAGCCTAATCAGTATACTCTGACCCCAAGACCTAATTTAGTAGTTCATCACCTAAACACAGAGCCAGGAGTTGAAAACTACACTGTACTGATTTTAACATGCACAAGTTTCCTGCCATCAGTCAGATTAGAAGCTCCATGTTTGCAGCACAGAATCTTTTTCTCCCATGCCAGTTACTACCACTATGACCTCAACAACCCTCAAACTAGTTCTCAAATTCAGAAAGCCAAAAAACTGAGTTCAGGTCATATTTCAAATAACAACCCCCCAAACCAAACATGCCCTGAAATATATTCCCCACACACTACAGGTTTAGGAACATTCATCTATAAATCAGTGTTTGGTCTCCCTCAATGCCACCTTTAGGCTTCAAAATGAACAGCATTCAATGAACAATAGTGAACAACAGCATCCACCACGCATCACTTACCTCTACTTCCACAGACTGCATTGCTAAATCACATGGTGGTTTTAGTGCTTTTGGTCTTGTTGCATACCAGTAAGTTGTGAGAGCTGCGAAAGCACCGAAGCCCATAAGCGTGTTGGTCGGAAGGGTGCGCACATACTGCCTGACATCCCCAAGTTCTGGCATTCGTAGATGTCTAAACAACTCATGTGCTTGCATTGCAATTCAGTGCAGTTTTTCACGATGCTGGAATCTGGTGATATGAAAGAAAGTTACACAGAAAGATTTCAAATCCCCTTTCAGTTAACTGTTGTTGTGGGAGACTGATGTATGCATTGTCCTACCAGCTTCCCACTATCAAAATTATCCGCCACTCAGCAGGCAATACCTTTAGACTGCTGTACTGCAATTAAATAAGCAAGTGATTAGTAGTTCATACACCAGAAAAACAGGTGGGGCTGACAGGAGGCAATTTCTTTAGGGTTTTAATATTGTTTTTAACAGACACTGCATTTCAAAATAGAAAGAGGCAATTGTTTTGTTAAAGGACAGCATTTCACAAATGCAAACTAGTTATTTGTAGAATAGCTGTACCAGGAGACTGTTTAAACAGTGTCAAACAGGGAAGTTTGGGAGAGAGAGGTCAGGGCTGTAAGATGTTAACTTGCTTGCATTAACATAACAGAGAGCATCCTAATCCTACAGTAGCATAGCAGGAGCAGGATTTTTCATCTCTTAAATCCAGTAAAATAAACTCTTTTTATTCTCCCTTCAGTCATGTACAGAAAGCTCACTACAGCAAGCTGCTTTCAAAGCCAACATCCTCCCATAACTCCTCTTGTGCTAGCAAGCTTCCTGTTTCTCCCAGCATCATGCCAGCAAATTACCTGTGGTCATGAGGCATGCTAAAGCAGCATCTAAGGAGGCCCAAGGCAGCAGCACACAGCAATATAATCAAGCACAGGAAGCACATTTGATTTGTCGTGTTCACACAGAAGGAAGAGTTGACAGAGGCTGCTCCCTGTCAGTGCTTTCTGACACGGATATTCCAGAGCAAGAACCAGCCATGGGGGGGTGTGGGGGAGGACTGCCATCAGCTCAGCTGGTGCACTCCTCTACAGCCAAGGTCTCCCGGGACATTCGTCACATGTCAAACCCACCAGCTCCTGCCCAGTAGGTGAGAGGTAAGCAGCAGGCAGCCAGCCTGCTCTGGGCCAATGGCAACGGACACCCAGGCACCCCACCGCCTGCTGAAGGGCGCCCGCCTGCCCTCCCGGCTGGCAGCACTGCTCACAGCCGCTGTCACCAGCCCAGCCTTTGGCCACACAGGGACAGCTGACAAAGGCTGCTGTCAGGGTGGGGTGGGGGAAGCAACACTTTCCTGCTTGACTGGAGAGCAGGAGTTAATTGCTTAGATGATTTAGGTCCAGCCATGTCCTACAGACAATGAAATTAAACAAAGGTCCTACAAAACGTCAAAGTAAGTGTTAAAATAGATAGCACATACAACATAACCATACACTGCTGCAGGATGGCAGTGTAAGAGACACTACAATACAAAGAGGCAGACTTCTACACTTATTAGTTTTAAAACCAACCAGAAGAGGCTAAGATTTCAGATTGCTAAAGGAAAATCTCTAGTTCACAGCCCGCCCTTGAAATCTTTACTGCTGCAATCAGTTACCCAACCAGGCAGCAGAAGAGTTGTCTTGTTCACAAAATGTCTAACCAGTATTTGGAGAAGGATTTGCTACTGACAGAAAAAAAAAAAAAGGCATAAAATTAGTTCAAAGGGCCCATGGTTTCACAATGTTAGCAGAAGGACAGGCTGAAGTAAGGTCATGGATGGGGGCAGCGTCAGGATGGAATCAAGTTCCACCTCTGGAATGCTCCCAGGCCCATTGGAGGCTTCCCAGGCTTCAGGTGCTGTCTTCTCTCTCCCTGCTCCCTTTTCTTTTACAGCATAGCCTTAGGGTGCAGGGCTGTATCACCTAGATACGTAGTGCAGGGCCACTACAGAAATGCCCTTTGGTTATTTGCACTGTGATACACAGCAGCCTATACTCAAAATCCACAACACATCAGGATGTAGTAATGGAAGGTAGAGAAGAACTGAAATACTAATTTGGAACACCTTTGTCTTCCCCCAGCATAAAAAATAAATCAGTTACTTTAGTATTACCATGCTATTGCTTTTTAAGCATCAAATCATGCTTACTAGCATTGCAGGTATGAAAACTACCTCTTAATATACACCGATTAACAATAAGAATAAAGAGTAATTCCAACAAGGAACTCTTGGTTTACAAGTTAATTTTGCATATATTATAGGCACCATGTTATGAAACTAGGAATAAAAGGGGGCTATAAACATATGTAAGGGTTAAGATCAGTCCTCCTCAAGCCCCACAGTAAAGCACCTTTGACTTTTAAAACAAGATACTTGCTTTCCTCTCCACATTAGTCATGACTTGTCCTGCACAAAGACTATTGATGTAGGAATGCAATGTAATTAGAGAGTTACTCTTTCAAAAGGCTGTGGTGCCATCACAGCTAACAAGAACTGAAATAAACATGACCATTTCATTCACAGAACAGTCCCATTGTAGTCAAGGAGCTGCTACAATTTCAGCTGCACACCACTACTTTTCATTTCCTTGACAACTTGTTTGTAGAGCAGCCTGTATCAGAAACCTTTCTTGACCAGGTACACTGCAAATTATCAGTTATATAATGATACATTTTACTGCTTAGGTTTATATTAAGGGATGACTTTATTACACTTTCTGCCTCATCAGCACACACACACACACAAAAAAAAAAACAGCCAAGATTAGGACAGAGTTTTCTGCAAGACTAAGCAATTCCTAGCTTTAACACTACCTGCTAAGTCATATCAACTCTTGTTTTCTTTATTTAAGATAAAGCCAGATGCAACAGGGTGAATTTATCTGCATTTTTAACATATGGATCCAAATGTGCCCCACCAAAGAAGGGGGCTTTGGTGCTTCCAAGTGTTCTTTGATCCCTCTCAGTGGTTACTTGGCTCACACTCTAATTGCATGAAACATCCAGGATCTTGGCTGAGACCAAGAAGAGCAGTTTAGAGCCTTTAGACTGAAATACAAAGATCTTCCCAGTGGAGCAAGGATCTGGCTTACAGTCCTTTTCCCCAAGGAAAGGCCCAGCAAAGCCTGCTCACTCACTACAAGCACAAAAGCCATGGTCACTTCACAAACTCAGGTCCTGCAGTTGCTTCTCATCCAGACAGGATCTCAGCCACAAGGAACAGATATTCAAACTCAGCCCCAGTGAGAGAAATGACATAGCAAGTGATTGGAAGTTACAGCTGGAGAATCCAAGGAAGAAGATCCTCAATAAGAGAAGTACCAGCCTGTAATACTTAGGTTGCTACATGTAACAAAAAAATTTCCAGCAGAAGAGACACTGTTTGAGGTAAAAAACCTTTTCCTCGATGCAACCAGTAGACCTTGGTTTGCCTTCAAGTTCAGAAAAAATACAGAAAAGGGTATGCAAAAGTGGGTTTCATAACAGGGGAAAACTGCTTCAGAGATGGCTGCCTGTCCTGGCCACCAACACAGAAACAGTTCCCGAAATCCAACCCATTAAAGCATCCGTCTGAACTCATCACGTCAGTTTGGTTAAGGAGCTCTGTACATCTCATGCAAAGCCAGCTCTTCACTCACACACATGCACACACACCTCACAGCACCAAAGACTCATTCCTTACAGCAGAGCCAGTATCTCAAGGCAATGACCGAAGTTGGCAGGACTCTGCTGTTCTTTGCTGCTCCTACTCTCAGCACACAATGGGCTATTTACAGCAGGCAGCAGCCTGCCTATTGTCTATCCATACCCAGACATCGTTCGAGCGCTGTAGAAGAGAACAGGAGAGCAGCCGTCACCCCTTGCGTTGCAAAGGAAAAACAATCCCAAGAACCAATGGCTTTTCTTCCTCTCCATCACGATATTTAGATGAACAGCACACCAGTGCAGCAGTGGCCTGCTATAAAGGAAGGTCCACCACATGGCATAGAAGATGTGGCTGTTATTTTCACAGCTTCTTGAAGGCAGGATAAAGCTACAAGACAAGTTGACCCATATACCTTTGAGCTATCCTCACAGCTACTTGCCATTGCAGATTGTTGTTTTCTTACCGTTACAGGTTATGCTGCAGAGCTCCCATGGATCTGTTTTACTTAAGTCTTTCACCACTCATTTTTTGAAAGAGGAAGTAGATAATCATATTCTAGCTTCTTTATTGAGCATAAGAGAGTGAAACAAACAGCTTTGGCTATTAATAAGATAAATCCTTCTGTCCAAATAGAATACATAATCCTAATCTCAGAGTACACGTATAATCATCTTTAATCAGTCCAACCTGTCCCAGATACATGCTCCCATAACCCTCATTGTGCTGGCCAGGCACTCACCTGGTAGTGTGCTCACACTGGGGAAGTGATCTGGCAAACACCGTTTTCCTGGGTTAGCTCTGATGCTAGTTTTCAGCTAGGTCACCTTTTGTCTAGATGACCAAGTAACCATTCACTCTCAAAAGAAAACAAGACGGCACAGCTCCGGAAAGAGATGGACTGTTGTAATACTGCACCTTAAACATGCAACTCCAAACACTGCATGCAAGTCCTCCCAGGATTTCCCCCCTGTCCTGCAGTCCAGGCAGTAAATTGACTGAGGTCTTGCAACCGCCTGTAACAGAACCAAACTGTAACCACAGGAGGGAAGAAGGGAAACCACAACTAACCTCAAGGTACAGCAAAGGAGAATCCTCAGTTTAAGGCTTATATAACATTAATGCAACAGCAAGATGTCTCCTGTGGTACAGCCTGTCATGTCATGTATGCTGTGACAGTATCTCTTTAGCCACAAAGGACTAAACTGCTCCTCAACAAACCTACTAACACTGAACTGTCTAATCCACTACTCTTCCGCTGCCATCACCCTCCTCCTCCACCCACCTTCCCACCTCCTTCTGCTCCTCCACTGCTCCCTCCCCCCTCCCCCCCCCATTCACATATCTAAATATCTTACCCAGAATCACTTAGATCGCCCAGCCAGGCTTTGGAGATATAAACCCTCCTTTTAAAACAGTAGCTAACACACTTTCCAGCAGCAGTAAAGGGGGAGGAGCTAAAAAGCTGTTAGTGAGGAATGTATCCCATGCAGATTGGAGCAAGCAGGTCCTTAACATTCACCACCCTCCCCACCTCCAACCCCACTTAGGCTCCCCAGTCTGGCTTTGAGTAACCACAGGGCATCACACAATGGTTCAGGTCGCCTCTGCTGGTTCAGTTTCTGTTCCTGCATTTGGGACAAGGCAGGACTAGAGGGAAGCAGCCTAGAAGCTGGATTCAGCCCCATCAACTGGGCCATGGTGATTTACTTCTTAAAGGCTGCAGCAAGAGTCTTACCTTCAGCTGCAGCTTATGAAGCACTACATACACTACTCATGTGTTCAAGGCTCTATGCCCAGCAACAAAAAAAGTCACAGCCCTGTCCTCAGACATTTGGCTGCAATCCTATGGAACAACACCTGGATCCTTGCCTCTTAATGATGTTGAACAAGTGATCTGAGTGCACACCAGTGAGGTCACTGGAGTTTATTCAAGTTCAGAGGCTGAACCACATGACAAGAAGCTGTTCAATGCCTTTTGTGCAACTATAGCTGTCAAACAGCACTTGGTAACCCTGTAAAATTAAGGAAAACCAATAGTTCCCACTAAAACCTTTAAGAGAGTGATTGATTTAAGATTCCTTTGATCCATGCCTTTGCACACATTGACATGTCAGCCTTACTGACTTCCCACCTTCAGAGATCACAGAATATACTTACAAACATCTATCTTGCAGCTAAAATTACTTTCCACTAGAATTCCAATCCTAGAGCTTCGATTTGCAAGTACATCATGGGATTACTCTAAATTAACCTCAATCCAAATACAGTGTAGATGAAAATCACCCTACAGAAGCAAGTTTCTACAAACCAGCAGCTTTCTTGTGGCATTAACAGCTGGAATAGATCATGCAAACTTATTCATTCTACCCCTCCCAGGAAAAGGCTACTTTTCAGATAGCTCAGTATGCTACATCGGGTTAACACATGCTCCAAGTACTCACCCAAGACTCTGCAAGAATGAGTTTCTTGCTCACACTTCTGTCACCTCAAGTCTAGCAGAAGGCAACCTGGGTCAGGCACAGTAAGCCACACGGCATCACACCAGATAGTGTTTACGTTCAGAAGGATGTTTTAAAAAAGCACACACAACCCTTAACACTGAGGCTGGCCAGATCAGCAAGTACTTAAGAGAAGCAACTGGCTCACCCAGTGACCTCCTAACACCAGCATCACAAGAACAAGTATGACAGACATCAGCAACCTCTTGACCTGGGGTGTTAAGGTATCCCTTGTATTTCCTCTGAGTAAGTGATAGTAAGCATTTTCATCTAGCTTTCCTAGGAAACTAATCCATCCTCACTAGCCTATTAATGCAGCCCAACTGCAGAGGCCAAGTTTTCAAAACTTGCACATGCAGTATCAAACTAAAAAGCTTAAGAGTTTTAGGTTTAAGAAAGTAATTCACACAAAAAAAAGACAGAAGTCCTTTTCTGAAAGTGGGACATCATGCACTTCTGCTCTAAACCTTAAGGAGTCCAACTACGAAAACAAAACCCAGTTTTCCTCTAACTCTCTATAAAACCATGCAAGCTCTTTTCAGTTTGTTTTGGGCAAACTTCCAGTACTACAAAGATTCAAATCCTAACCCCAAGGGAATACTTTACTATCATATTTTAGTCTGTAGATGAATAGCTGCCAACATGAAAGGCAGCAAGGAAGAGCAGAAGCCTTGTGTTATCGAGTGTCCTTGTTCCAGGAGTCAGGCAGGATCTGCAGAAATGCAAGCACCCCATCTGCAGCCAGGGTTCAGCCTACTGCCGGTAAAGGTCAGTGCTGCACAGCACTGCTCCCCTCAGCCATATGTATTGCAAGCCTGCATGCAATGAATAAATAATCTCCCCTCCTTTTTATGAGGATTTCCAGAGTTACCACTGATTACATTTAACATATTACAAGATTTAACATATCAAAACTTGTAATTTAGCGCAGCAGGGAAGTAGGATACAGGAGGCAGTCTATTCATTGGACTACCAGAAGCCTAATTTATCAGGCAACATATTCCCCGGGGCCAGAGTCTCTCTCTCTCTCTGCTGCACATTTGACAAATCTTGTCATTAGCCTGAGTCCACCCATTTGATTTAACTGTATTGCCAAGATTTAGAAAAACAAAACGACAGCTCCTATCTGCTACAGCTTACAATAGTCACAGGGTTGTTTTCTTGGAGGGTAAGAGAGAAAGAGAAGAAACCATTTGACTCTTCCCCACTGGGGATTGATACACAGGACAGAGAAAGTATAACCCACCTCTGTCTCCTTCAGAAAATCCCATGGGGTATTTATTTTTAGTGGAGCAATGAGGTAGCAATCAACTACAGAGAACTTTATTCAACAAGAGAGTCACCTGGATAACTATTTCAAAGTTGTCTTTCATTTTGAACTACTGGCTTTGCTTTTCCACTGATACCAACCTTGTACTTGCCCTTGAAGCAAAAAGCTACTTGGGGATTTGCTTATAAAGCACTTACTTCGAACCTCATCTTCGCCAATTTGTAAGTGTAAAACAGCATCCACCAAATTTAGAAGGTACCTTTAAAATTCATTATAATCATGCAGTCCTCAGAATAGGCTAAAACTATTGGCTCAAGACCTTGATTATATTACACACAACAGCTACTCGCAACTGCAGGCTTTAGGTTTTCCTCATCAGCCATCCTCAGACTTATTCCAACACAAGCAAGCTAGATATCCTTGGACTTTATAAAGAATCAGGCAGTCACAGCATGGTTTCATGAGCAATTCTGTATTTCAGTTTTTGTTTTACTAAAACTGCTATTGTTGCAAGAAGAGACAGGTATGTTTCAGTAAACTCAATACTTTCTTACACTCAGAATTTCTTAATCTGAGAAGTCAGATCCAAATCTCTTGAGCTGAGAAATCTCAGCTTCTGAGTTTGACAGCACATTCCAAAGCAGAGAGGCAAATACAAATACTCCTAAACAGGCTCAGGAGACTGCATTGGCTCCCTGTAAAGCAACGTAGATGAAAGAAAAAGTCTCTTAACACCACATGAATAGCTCTGTGGTCCAGGTACAGGCATATAATCATAGGATTTTGATAGCAGTTTCTTCAGATGTCACTCTTTCCTATCACAGGACATGTCCACCACATTGAAGCCACTAACCCAAGCAAGGCATATGTTTACATGGATTATTTGGTCCAAGAGGGTGTCTATAATACCCCAAACAACTCACAGACATGCCCTTTAGAAATTCAGAAGGCTTCAAGTGTTGCAATTCCTGTTCAACAAGAACGAGAAATGTATGCACCCTAGAACAAAAGCACCACGCAACCAGGCTAAACCCCTGCGCTGTAGCACTGCAAGTCCTACCTAACAGCAGAGGCCTGCAAAGTCAAACTCACCGAACCTTCCATTTTAGGCCAGTGTGCCTCACGCTACATTTCCATACATGCTCTCAGCTGCACAGACAGAGAAAAACATAAAGCTAAAAAAAAAAAACCCAAACCGCCAAAAAAGCTGCTTCAAGTACATGCTGCTCTCATGCCAGTAACAGCGACCTAGTTGAAGGCAAGGTCCAGCAACTACACATAACCCGCTGAGGCTGGCGGGCAGCACGGTGCTCCCCACGGCGGGTCTGGGCGGCGGGCAGCCCGGGGGGCTGCGTTTCCGGCAGCGGGGCCTGGCCGCAGACCACCTTGCGGCCCGAGCCCTGCCGTGTGGAGGGCAGCGCTGGCGCCGAACAATGCCCTGCCAGCCGGAGCTGCCGCAGCGCCGGGGGGGGAGGCCGGGGGCAGCCGGCTGCGCTCTCCTGGAGGCTTTTGTGCAAGGGGAAGCCAAGGCGGCTCCGCGGGACGCTGACCCCACCGCGGGGCGGAAGGGAAATCAGCGGCTGCCTGAGGGGATCGGCTCCAACACCGCCCGGCCGGCACCCACCGCCCCTCGCTCGGCCCCGCAGGTGACAGCACCAGCGCAGGCAGCCCTAGCCCCGCGGTGAACGGCCCGGTAGCGGCGGTGGCTGCGGCAGGCCCCGGCGGAGCCAGCCCACCTCATCGGCGGCCGAGCAGGTTGCGGCGAGCACGTCCCTGACAGCCCCCGGCCCTGCGCCAACTCCTCAGCGCGGCCGGGCACGCGGCCTCGGCCTCGTCCTACGCTCCCGTGCACCGGTGGCGGCGGCACCCCCGAGCCCCGCTCACCTCCCGCCAGCGGCGGCAGCGACAACAACGACGACGACGACCACGGCTGTACGCGGCTCCCCCGGCGCCGCCCTATTTAAGCTGAGCACGGCGGGAGCGGCGTGTCCGTGTGCCGAGCCCGCCTCCTCCGCCCGCCAGCTCGCACCGCCCGGCAGGCGCTAGGGCCCAGGCCTGCCCCGCCCCCGAGCCTCCCGCCCCGCCCCTTGCCCTGCCTCTTCCTTGTGCCCGCCGGGCCGGCCGCAGGCGTGCTGAGGACCCGGGGCCGGTACTGTGCTGCCCGCGGCACCGCTGCGGTGTGTCGGCCCGCCCGTGCCGCAGTAACCCATACAGATCCGCGGGGAGGGCGGTGGAAACGACGTACGTGCGGGCACAAACGCTGGGGGAAGAGCAGGGGAGTGAGAGCATGAACTCTGCTGGGAGCGCAGCTTCACACCGTACAGATCCGAGTTGACAGCTAGCAGGGGAAGCTGTTCCTACGGGTTCGCAAAAGACATCTGCATCCCGTATACTTAGGCCACAAGGACCTGTGCTTCAGTATGAAAGCGTTGGAAGGGGACAGTGACCTTGCTGTAGCCTAAGGAGTCATCTGTTCACCTTGTTCATGAGGGGGCTGCAGGCCTGAGGTGCTCCCTGGTAAAGCGGAGGCAGTCAGGGCTTTGTCAGCTGCCTCTGATGGGTAGCTGGTTTTAGTTTGGCCGGGTGCTTCTGTAGTCCATTCGACCTATAAATCATCAACCACATCTCAAAGTCCCACTGTCTTGCACACTCTGCATTGCCATAGTTTTCTTGTGTTTTGTGGGTATTATTTGGATTTATTTAAGTGTATGGGGACGATTCAGCAGTACACATTCATATATATATATCTATAATTTGTAAATTACTGGAGGTGCTTTTATTTTACATGAAGAGAACCACCATTCCCTGATGCTTCAGTTTATACTGGAGTATACCAGGCATACGACTTCCTGCAAAGTAGAGTTTTTAACAAAAGAACAAGATATTTCACTTTATAGCACAAAGGGGGAGAGCACTTGTGAAGCTGCTGATAGTCCTCACTTAGCTGAACTTGGGTTCACACTGTGGAGTGGCTCTGAAATGCAAAATGAAATCCTTTCCTGCGAAAGGAAGTGGAAGCGGATTATCCAGGAGTGCATCTGACTGGCTGCAGCAGCTAATGGGCATGGAGTCCATGGCACCACTAGAGCCTGTCTGGGTAAAGCCCTAGAGCACTGTCAGTGTAGACTTTAGCAGCTCTGCCGTGGTCGTGGTCGGGCTCTGCTGGTTTGTTCCTATTGCACCACACTTCATGCTTGTGTAGACACAGCCAGTCTCTGCCAAGTGGTTTTTGCACTATGTCCAGTGTTTTGGAGGAATTGAGTGATGTAGAAATACACTGTTTCAGGCACTGGTGACTTCATGTTTTGTGCCAAATGCATCTAGGTTCCATCTGCCAAACAGAAAAATTTATTATGATTTTATCTACTACACTAATTATTCCTTCATTATCACATCTTTCTCCACATTTGGGTTTCTGAAGACATAGGCCACATGTTTTAGCCTTCTCTCAGGGAAACTTCGGTGAACTGATTTTCTCTCACTGGAAAGAGGGTTTCTAAAGTCTGTCACTTGTACTTACCTTTTCATGATTCCTGTCATCAATATGAGACTGTGAAAGTTCCAGTGATGCAATATTTAAATAGGCATCTCACTAATGCCAAGGATCACCTCTCTACTCCTACCTGACACTCACAAGATTATACATCCATGGACTACATTACTCTCTGAAATTGGCTTTTTTCCCAGCTGATCAGAAAAGAGAGGGACCTTGTCTCAATCAGACAATGTAGAAAAACATACACAGGCAACAGGGAAGTAGGATAGGTATGTAAACAAAACCTACAATGACAATATCGGACTGTCTTACACAGGGAGCTAAGGAAGCTTGGGCTCCTGTGGATCCATGGGGGCTAGGCCCCTTTAGCAACTACACACACATTAATTATATTTGAGATCTCACGAACTCTCTATCAGCAGACAGGGCATACAGGCTTTAAACGCATTTCGTCAGTGAAATCTGCTCTCATTAAGTACATCAGATAAACCAAGTAAATAAAGGCATCCAAAAGGAGACTCTGCTTTTCCTGTTTGAAAAGAATTCCCTGTATTCCAGTCCATGCTCCTTGTCTCTTTGTCCTGGGCATTGTTGAGAAGGGTCTGCTTCCATCTTCTTTCCTCCCTCAAAATGGATGTTTATACACATCAAGACCCCCCCACCTCAAAGCCTTCCTTTCTTGAGGCTGAACAATCCCACCTTGCTCAGCTTTGCCTTGTATGACAAAAGCTCCAGTCTGTTTACCATGTTCGTGGCCCTTCACTGAACTCTCTACAGTATGTCCGTGTCTCTTTTGTACTGGGAGCCCAGATTGGACATAGCATTCCAGGTGTGGCCTTCCCAGTGCTGAGGAGAGGGAAAGGATCATCTCTGCTTGACTGTCTGCACATGAGGATGGACCACTATGGAGCTTGGAGAAGGTGAACCTCAAAACTTCAATCAGCTTTCTGGGACCCCTCTTCTCTTCAAGACCATTACCTCAACAGGCTAAGTATCCTCTAAATAGATTACCCAAACCAGAGGACTTCCGTTTCAGCAATGTATGGATATTATAGCCTCTTTAGCACTAGTATTTGTGTTTCTCAATATTATTGATATCAAAGTACTATTCTTATATACCTGTATTTGCTGTCATTGACAAAATAATTTAAGCATCTGCCAGGAAAGATATCTCAGCTGTGTTCTTTTCATTTTGATTTACAGGGCATGCACATCACTCTACTGAATTGGGTTATCCCAAGTGTATCATTTACAAAACAGATTGCCCAGCCTTCTACCATACTGTATCTGCATCTGCTAACACTTGTGTGGAATCTCAAGAGAAAAAAAAAACACGAAGAAATGTTATGTAAATAAGCACTTCAAAATGTCTAGCATACACTGCAATTAAAAAACATGAGCTACTGGGTCCATGGAGCAGGCATAGTTACTTATATCTTGTCAACCCTCTTCCTCGTGGGAAATGAAATAATGCTCGTTTTACATTTGTAACTGTTTCACACACTTGAGAAAGAGAATGTAAGTCCGATAGGAAATGCCAGGGAGCAGGAAGACTCCATAGCAGGGAGTGAGCAGGGAGCTGAGGGCAACTCCAGCAAAGGCAATGCTCTCTCCCCAGTGTGCCAGGTGACACCAAGTGCTTTTACCAACAGCCCTAGCCAAGCTGAGGTCACAGCTCAGGGCTGGGGCCCATGTGGAGACCCAGTGGGCAACAGCAGGAGCCAGCACAAGGACTGGAGACAAGGCTGGGACACATGTCTGGGGTCCATCCAGGAGACAGGGCTGGATGTTCCTCCAGGTTCCATCCAGGAAAAACAAAACAGGAATCTGGGAGAGGAGGGGCAGGGCTGGGTATGGCATAGCTTAAGTGGATCCCCTGGACCACTGGGCAAGAGCATGGGTGAGAGTCCCATGCAAGGCTGCTCAGGGCCATTAAGGTCTGCAGGTGTCCCTGGAGCCCTGGCAGCAACACCAATGTGACCCAGTCTCACGTAAGTATATGGCATGTGTCTGGCTGCATATCACCTGGGGTATTCATAAAATCATACAGTAGTTTAGGTTGGAAGGTACCTTTAAGGTAGGGACATCTTCAACTAGATCAAGTTGTTCAGAGCCCCATCCAGCCTGGCCTTGAGTGTTTCCAGGGATGGGACATTTATCACCTCTCTGGGCAACCCGTGTCAGTGTTTCACCTGCCTCACTGTAAACTCTTGCTTCCTCCTATCTAGTTTAAAACTCCCCTCTTTTAGTTTAAAACCATTACCCCTTGTCACACTTCTTTTGATGCAGCCCAGGATATGGTTGGCCTCCTGGCTGTGAGCACACATATTCCTGCCATACATTGAAAGACAGTGACTTGGGGACTTCAGTTTTTTTGAGCTTATATGACAATTACAGCTGGAACAAAATGGTAGTGTGTGAAGAAGAGACTAGAATAAGATATCTTAGGCTTGCAACAGATGAAATTATTGTTGAGGACAACTGAATCTGGTTATTTTTATGCTATTTTTTTCCAGGTCTATGTCATTATACAGGTGCATTTTCATCTAAGAAACAACACATCATATTGGGCACAATATCCCAAAAAATAAGAGCTGTGTAGAAATAAGAAACTCTATGCTAGGTCAGAGAGAAAAACATATTTGGAAGGATTCCTGAGGACCACAGTCATCTGTCTTCCTTACATACAAATAACACAAACTCAAACACACTGATGTCATGAATGAGCTGTATTGGCAGGGTTCTGAATAAAGGTCTGCTCAGGGCCAGCCTAAACCATGGCTTGGTCACACTTATGGTCACACTTAAATAGTTC